CAGAATCGATTTGGGCCATTATGAATTATGCAGATAAATTCATTTCTAATGTGTATGCATATATATATATGACCATATATATATATATGACCATATATATATATATATAGATAGATAGATAGATAGATAGATGGATGGATGGATGGATAGATAGATAGATAGATAGGTAGATAGACACTATATACACATACATCTTACAAGTGCATACATCTGAAAACATGTATGTGCATCTATATATCTATATACACATATGGCAAGAGGACAGACAGAGGGAGAGAGAGAGAGAGAGATTCTACTACACCATAGCCCTGGCGAAAGACAGAGAGCCAGCGAGAGAGAGAGATCCCTAAACCCAGCAGAAAACGAGCGAGAGAGAGAGAGGGACACACGGAGAGGGAGAGGCAGAGGCGAACAGTTTTCTGCACTGTGGGATACACTCACTGCCCTCAACCCTACATCTTTGCAGAGACTTTCTGCATTTTCTTCAGCATGAACCCCAACTCTTCTCGAGAGAGCGGGGGAGAGGGATTGTGTACGTCTATGTTTGTATTGCAAAAACACGTAGAAAGGAGGGAGGCAGAGAGAGCGAGAGAGAGAGTCCGGACAGGCTCGATATCTTCACGTGTAGGTGTCTTTGGAGTTGGTTTTCAGAGTTATGCCTTGGCGAGCCTGCGATGATGCGTTCTGCTGATCGATCGACCCTCCGCAGGACCAACTAATTAAGTGGGAAACAAAAGCATGGAACTTAGCCAACTTTGACCTAGGCGAGTCACCGTTGCTGCCACACCCGATTTGAAGATCCGCCGATGCTGCAGTGCATTGACGTGGGCAGTTTCCCGCCGTCAAATCCAATGATGGACTTCAACAGCCTCTTGGATAAAAGCTGACGCTTCTCGCGAGGGATTGCAACACAATCGTCAGGCAGGGTACAGTTGCTCTAATTATGTGTTTTTCGATTTGGACACAGATACTCTGGTCACTTGACCCCATTCACAAAGGTAAGCATTCGTATGCAAGTATAGTGTCAAGTTATGCCAGTACGGCGCACTTGGCCCTTGACTGACTGACCCTGTCTCATGGAGAAGTCACGCTGGCTTCCTGGTTGAGGGTGTGCAGCGCTTCTGTGTGCTTGAGAGCCATGTGCCCTCTTTCGTTTCGGCCTCGCATCAAGGTCCTTTCCTGCATCTTGCATCGGTATCTGAGGTTACAGCTCAGATACCCTTTGGGCCTTCGCCAGCGGCCTGATCTCACCGGCGGATGTCTTCGAGGCCTTCATCGGGAGATTGCCCTGGCTCCAGCCATGCTGTTATCCAACCATGCTGCAGGTTGGGGTTACGGCTGTTTCGAGCAATGGCAAAAAGGGCTCCAAGTGTATAAGCCTGCAGGTCAGGCGCAGAATGTAGAATGTATGATATTTGGTCCATTCGTGCCAGAAGTGCTCGCCCTTGACCGCGCAACTGCAGCTAGCAGCTAGCTTCTTCGTTTCCAGCGATGATGACACTGCAGATGCTTGGGTCATGCTGAATCATGCCTGCTAGTGCAGACAGCCACAAACAGAATCCTACAGTAGCCAATCCATCCGGCCAAGCACTTCTCCCAGCACTCCGCAGAATGTTGTGCATGGAGAGCGGAGGGTTTGATGATTTCCTGCTGCGCTACTAAACTCTGTCAGATGAATGGCCCACTTCCTGCTATGTCATTTGACTCCTTGGGCCGGAGCTCTCCTTTCAGACCTTCCACCCTGGTCCTAATTCTGATCCACCCTTCCCAGACTGTTTCGGACGTCCTCCAAGAGTCAATGCTTTCAAAAGAACCGCAAGGCATGCCAGAGATGGACAGAGGCAGCCTCCGTTTCTATGGGCCTCTCCACGCAGCCACAGGACTCTCAGGGGTGAGGGGCCGAAGACTCGGAGGCTGCCAAGAGAGACTCCTAAAACCTGACTGATTGACCGACAGAGTGGTCGAGGGCGCTGACTTTAAGTTATGCGTAGAAGACACATTAAGAAGACTGGCATTGCAGGACGTCGCTCGGGACTGCACTTGGACCGTCAGCACCTTCCTTCTTGACCGAGAGCGGCACGAGTTGCTGGTGCCATGGTTGGCGCACATGCTGGAGGCTGCAGTTGTCTAATGCAGTTTTGGAAAGCTTGGATGTTCAATCTGGGACGGAAAGGAAGCGAGTTAGCCAAGCGTGGCGACTATGTAGAAACTACAATCTGCATCAGACCCAGACCATACAGCACGTCCTCGTGCATGTTGTACGTAGGCCGAAGCTGCCAAGGTAACTGCAGTATGACTCTGACTGTGCGTGCCCAGGTGAGGCGCCCGCTTTGGTCTACACAGATGACACTGTCCATGGCCACCGGGGCAGTGGATAGCACTTCTTTCAGCTTATGGAAGCTTCATCATGACATGCAGCAACTCGACTTCCTGATATCGGGGCCACAGAACAGCACTTTTCCTTCACGCTCGAGCCTGAATGTGTCTGTGGAGTGGCTGGGCATGGAGCTACTTCCCTTGTATGCTGGGTTGCGGGACCAGGTGGTCCTGGAGCACGACAAACAAGAGGTGCTCGTTCACTTTCAGAAGCTGCATGGCATATTCAACCGGGCCCTTCATGTGCACTATCCCTGGGTAGAGTCAAGTGAGATGTTGATGCCATCAGCTGCCAAACAGATGAGCGCTTGGAACCAGGAGGTGGCATTGGTCGTGGATGAGTCAATCCACGAAAGTGTCAGGGAAGAGGTCTACCTGTCACTCCTGTCATCCACAATCTGGTACGGGGTGCGGGAGGGCCGCGAAGCAGTTCTTGTGTCAGCGACCTTGTTGGATGGACTTCATCATCCGGCGTTGCTCGCTTTGGCCAGGGGGGTGCGTCGTTTGCTGCCCGTGCTGGCAGACTATCCACTGCGAGACATTGTTGCCCGGAAATACCATGCATCGAAGCCCAACCCGGGCACTGAAATGCACTCCTGGGATGGTGAAGTGGTGGCTTGCTTGTGGCTGCAGCCTCGTGCATCGGCCACCGCCATGGGCGGAGAGCTCCGAATTTTGGGAAACGAAGCTCCGCCAAACTGGTCCGAAGAGGAAGCTTTCGACTGGGGGCGTCCTTTCCCCGGTCCCAGCGGCGCCGTAGAGGTTGACATAACACCTCGGCCCAGGAGGCTTGCGATCTGGCCAGGACGGCGTTTCGTGCGAAAGCTCCCCACTGCTGAGGGCTTTGGGCCCCCGGCTCGATACGAAGAGAGCTGGCTGGAGGTCTACTTTCTCTTTGGATCTCAGAGGCGCTGGGCCTCAAGGGTCGACCACGTGCCATCTATGCCTTTGGTCGAAAGAATCGTGCACTTTGCTGGCGCGATAGGGTTGTAGACCATGTCATACCGTGTCAACCGGTCTTGCAGACATCTAAGTCTTGTGACGTGTGGTACCAGACCCCTGAGCTTCCATACTCCCCCTCCCGCGCGTGGCGTTCGATAAGGATAATCAGTTGCACCAAAAGGTAGGTTCACAAGCGAACTCCTCGAGCCCAAAAAACCTCACCTGCCACTGTGGCTAAGCATCGGCTTGGAACTGAAAGCCCATGAATGGATCCAGTCCAGAAAACCCAAGCTCCCGGTCGCAGAGTCGCAGGAAGGCTTTCTTGAGCTACCCAACGAGGCTGGAATGTGACCTGCTCTATGTTACCTGGGCTGGATGCAGGGGGGTTTGACGAAAAGCGAAAGAAGCTTGCACCAATGTGGCAAGCTGTTTGCTTCCGAGTTGCTCTGCAGCTGATATGGCTTAGACCGAATCCTGAGCCCGAGCATCCCTTTGGTGACATACAGCTCTTGGATTCTGGATCGTCCCAGAAGGAACAGGGTCAGCCAGAAAATCTCACAACAGGCAAGATGCCTCACACACGGTGCACTCGGAGCTATCTTGCATTCACCTTTCACGTACATCAACCTGAGCGGATGCACCTTTGCAAAATGCAGTATTTCTATGCGTAGCTTTTCATGATGCAGGACGTCCTTTGACTCTTATCCAAGGATCTGCAGGAACGGGGTGCACATCAAAACCTGAGCTCCCAAAACCAAAAGGTTGTCAGGCCTAGGAGATGTCTGCCTAGTTCAAGTCACTTGCGTGCTCCACCCTGTTCGCAGGATCACTTTCGAGAAGGAAACACCAATTAGGCAGAAAGACGGTACGCGCAGGCTGTGGAACATCTTGCGAGAAGCCACATCTCATCGCATGAGTCCTTCTTAAAAGAGGGAAGTCTCTGCTCGCTGTGAAGAGCAGGCGCAGTCAAAGGCCCGCTCCGGCTCCAGGCTGGGGTCGAAAGAGGCGCACTCTGCATGGCAACGGGTATTGTGTGCACAAAAACTGCCTCGGGCATTTTAGTGATTGTGATAACCTCGCCTGCAGAGGAGTCAACCGGAAATGCGACCCTCATCTAGACTCCTGATTCCTGAGCTTCAGCAGCGTTCACTAAATTAAGATTTTCAAGTTGAGTTTCTGCACTGACGAAGGTGAGCAGCCGCGCCGGAAGCAAGGCACTGGATCTGGACCTTGCGGGTGGTGGTTTAGTGTTGGGTGTGCAAAGTTGGCACGCAGTGACATAGCTTTTGCCCCACCTGGTTGAGAATGCCTTTGCTTGTCATCTTCCTGTAACCATCGATTTCAGAAGAAACGAACACGCCAGTGAGCTAGCAAAGCTGAGCCAGTGGCAAAGCTTGAGCCAAGCACACGCGGCAGCAAGCAGAACAGCTCAAGAACCCTCTTACCTGCGGTAGTCTCGCGAGGCTCTCGTAGGGGACGGGATGGATCGTGCAGATCGTATGTGCACTCGAAAATGTCGGGCGGCCACTCACAGGTATCATGCCAGCTGCCTGGCTCTACAGCCTTAAGTGGAAGATTCACAGCCACAGCATTCACAAAATTGGCCATTCACGACAGTAACAACTTACGATGGGTCGTAACAACCAGAGGTCGCAACACGAACGGCCATAGCAACAGCAGACGTAGAGTATAAACAGAGGTGATGCGTTGACATGGAAAGCCCCAAGCCCGAAAGCAGTGCTGAAGGTTTGGCTTTTTGAAACAGCCAAACAAAATTTCGTGTCCCAAGCCTTCGAGCTTTGCTCGACGAGAAGCTCCATCAGCAGGCTGGCACGGGCACTGCCGACAAGGCGGCGGGCGCGGCGAGCCGTGCTGGCAGTAAGGACTGACCCTCAGACAGCTCTGAGCTGCGGTCAAATTATTCAAGTTGGCCAAATCCTACCGCGAAGCTCTCCAGTCCTCACTTCTCATGCTTGCAGCCGCTTTTCGACATGACGAGCCCAAGTGTGGCAAGCAAAGAGCCCTTTCAATCCGTGCATACGTATGCAAACGCCAGTATGCTGTTTATTCCGTTGCTTACTGTTTGTTTGTTGCCTTTGTGGGTCAAGGTCTGATGTACTCAAGTGGCTTGCACGTTCTTAAGTTGTTTGTGCACGCAGCTAACTTACTAGGCAGATATATTGAACATGCGCACAAGTAAAAAATGAATGTGCGTTGTGCATGTGTGTATATATACACATAATAATATAGTTGTATATGTATGTATAGATATATATATATATGTATGTATGTATGTATGTATGTATGTATGTATGTATACATGTATATACACACACACATGTATGCACGTACGCTCATGTACATAGTTATGAGTCTTGCATTTGGTGGCATGAGGATCTATGCATTGATGTATGGCATGTGACATGCAGAGACTATGTCACTATGTAGCCTGAAGTTGTTTACGACTCGGTAGAGCAATCGATCCGGCACTCAACTCTCGCACTCTGAAGCGATCCATTCTTCACTGTTCGCTACACGTCGCCTTGCTCCAGCAAATCCACCAATTGTGTGTTCCGCGTGGAGCGGACAGGGTCGTAGAGTAGCGGGCCAGAGAGTGGGGATTCTGAGCTTCAAGCTTCAAGTTTTGACTGGTGTTATCCGGAAAGGAAGCCGCCTGGCATCCGTGATTGCTCAGGGAAGTCAAAAGTCCATGGTGACGCGTTCACGGCGGGTTAGGGTGAATCGCCGTAGGTAAAAAGTGTCCTAACTGCATATTCTTGCCATCAGTAGCAGTAGTAGTGGTGGTAGTAGTAGTAGTAGTAGTAGTAGTATAGCAGGAGCAGTAGCAGTAGCAGTAGCAGTAGCAGTAGTAGTAGTAGTAGTAGTAGTAGTAGTAGCAGCAGCGGCCGCAGCAGCAGCAGCAGCAGCAGTAGCAAAAGGGGGCAATTCAAGTAGTCGTAGTAG